GTGTTTGTGTGTGCGTTTGTGTGTGTGTGTGTGTCTGTGTGTGTCTGTGTGTGTGTGTGAAAGGGGGAGGGCATCCATGAGTCAGTGCCGAGAGCATCGATCACTTCTTCTGCATGCCGCAGCAACGTCTTGAGTCAGACTGAAGTTGGTGCACGCACGCACACACACACACACAAACTCCCAACACTAGAGTGTAATGCCCGAAGTCCTAAACCCCCATGCCGCTAAGCCTTATGCAACTTCTTTCAACCCCTATAAAACCTTTGTATAAACCCAGATTGATCTGCCTACAGCCTTATGAAGCTTGTTGCGACCCCTATACAACCCTTGTAAGCCCAAGCTTACGAACCAAGGCTCCGACAACAAACTATGGTATTTGTCGAGGCCTTTCCAAGCCTTGTCAAACTCTAACCCCTGCGACCCCTGACCCCACAACAATGGGCTGCTGTGAAAGTGCCAGCACGGTGGAGGCACGCCTTGCCAATTCCAGAAGTTTCTAAGTTCTAACTGTCTGAAGGTTCGTAAGGGCTTTCGGGATAACCCCTCGAGACGAAATCAGTGTCGAGGGTTTGGGGAACTGGGCGCCTTGGACCGCAGGAGCTCGAGATTTCTGGACCCGGAGTCGCTCGGATGCAAGCTGATATGCAGCAGTTGTCGGCAGTTGTCATAGTTGCGAGGGGTTAGGCTTTGATCCTCATGTCTATGCTGCCTGCGTTTGCCAGTGCTCCCGGTGTTATCAGTGCTGAGAGAGGATTTGTGCACTTTTCCACTCGCTACATGCGCTACTTGCAGAGTTGTAGGACGTCAGTGCAGCCAGGAGGTGCTTCCGCACGGGATGGAAGCCCCAAGAACCTACAGCCTGGGTTGAGGGATCGGGCTGAAGAGACTTTGAATTTTTGTTGGTGCACCGAAGCAGAGGAGGCCAAGGAGCTGACGGCGGGCTTCCGTGCGTGCGAGGCCTAGACCTTCAAATGCGGCAAGGTTAAGGGAATCTTTGTTGCGGTATTAGCAAGTATGAAGCCTCAACATACGTCGTGCAGGTTGGATTGAGTCTTTTGAGATCGTGAAGATTTTGACATGCGCTCTTGACCGAGTAAGAGAGTTATTGCAGGACGTCTCATGGCGCCTTTTTTTGGTGGTGTGTCGTGGTCTGGTCTGCCGGGGCTGTGGGGCGTCATGGTGGGACCAGTCGTGAACGCGTCAAGTTTTTTTTGCGTGGGAAGGTTAGGGGCCTCGGCTTCGGAATTGTAACTGAACAGTTAGGTAACCGTTAATCTCTGCTGAGGGTATACAACCGCACCACAGTTAACAAGATAAACCTCTCTGGGCGAAGAAGTCAGAAAGGACGCGCCCCTGGCTGAGAGCTTCTGAAACAGAGAGCCCAAGACACCGAATCAAGGGATGTGAGTCTGATAGGACGTCAACTCGGAGTAAGAGGATTTAGACGGTTTTTACTCTGTGTAGCCTCCTTCCGGAGGTCCTGGCGAGAAGCCGAGTGGGAACGCACACACACACACCGCCAGAACCTAAACCAAACCCAGGACCCTAAACCCTGAAGCCTTGAATGCTAAGCCCTAAACCCTCAACCCTGAAGCCTTGAACAATACAGCCCCAAGCGCTAAAGCCGATTGCGAAAACTCGCAGCTTTGCCGGCCCAGGCCTGCGCCGCCCACCCGCGTCATCGCCAGCTCAGGGTGGCTGTCGGGTTGTGACTGAGTGTTGGGGGATTTTTCTGGGTTTAGGGCTGTAGCTGTGGGACCCCACCAGAGTTTGATTTGAAGTTCTTGGTGATGTAGTGTAGTGTTGGGTGCTGGTGAAGCACAGCTCAAACATCTGTAGCAAGCTTATTCGATGTTGGGACGGCTTCGGGCATGTGCTACTGTCACAACATGGCGTTTCCACAGGCACTAGGTATTGACACGCCTGCGTGACTGCTTTGGCTTGATCCCAGGTTTCTCGGGTCGACGACACGGAACAGACTAGCTTTAGATGGTTTAGGATTCTGGGGTTTGGCACGTGGGGTTCAGGATAAGGCTAGGTTTCGGGAAAGCAAACGCTGTTATCGGTGGAACAGCCTTGCTATTTCCAATGCTGGTACCGATAGTAGGTGCCATGGGCATGTCAGAATCCGAACGGTGCTAAAGAAGTTCGGCGGCCCTTTTTCATCCACTCAATATGAATGATATAGGGCCTTGAAAAATTAAACAGCAGTATCCCCTTGCCACTTGGGGTAGAGCGTTCGGTTGAGTCCTTGTTAAGCCGCAATTGCGTGGACGTACCTCCCCAACATCCCAGAAGCTTGCCCTTGCAAATCTCTGTCATAGAGTTTCACAGACGATGCATCTTCATGTTTAGGCTTTAATTATGTGACACGACCAGGTGGTTCGACACTTTGAATGCTGCTGCGCACCTTAGAAGAGTCTATTGGCCCCGAATACCCGCAGGTGGACCAACGGCACGCAAAGGCTCGCATGAGCCATGCCGCTTTCGCTCGGATTCGCATAGAGCTTCTTTTGGCGTGTTGGTTTTCTGTACGGGTTTAGTGTTCGAGGTTTGGGTTCAGGGAGTGTAAGGTTTGGGTTTCGGGAGTGTAGTGATTTGCTTGAGCAGCCGATTCTGCAACACAGTGGCCATCGAGAGCCCCAGCACGAGATGCGAAGCGGCGCACAATTGCCGAAACCCGATCAGACAAATCTAGCGAATAAGAGACCCGTGCCCGAGACCGCGTTTATGTTAGTACAGGTTTCTATAAGGTTTCTATACTATATGTTCTTTACGGAAGGATCTGATAAGGGTTGTAAAGCAGTTCCTTTAAGGTTTCTCAAGGTTCTTATCGTATTGTGAAGGAGTTGTGAAGGAGCTTAGTTGTTTGGCGGCTAAATCCTTATGATTAGGCTGTAAATCTACGTGCCCAACTTCAACACCTAAACACCGTAGCGCGTTCTTCCAAAATTCGGGTCCTCGCTGACAGAATTTTTTCGGAATCCGGAAAGGGAGCCTAGAGGACTGCCCGCATCCCTAACTCTAAATTGACAAATACCCTACACATAATGCCCCAGGCCCCTCAAGCTTGAACACTATCTCCCAAGCTCCAAACCCTAAGCCCCACACCCAAACCTCAAACACGTCATCCTACCCAGACCCTCAATTTTTCATCCCAAACCTAAACCCTAAACGGCGGAGCTTGGAAGGACGACCTCCGCCTCACGTCCAGAAGAGTTCTTTGCAGTCGTCCCTGGCCAGGCGAGTAGGGATTTTTGGGTTTTGGGGTTCAGAGGTATAGACTTCTGGGTTTAGGGTTCGGGGTTCAGAACTTTTCGGTTGAGGTTTGGCAGTTTTCGGTGTGAGCTTATCATTAACGTGCCTTCTTCCGGGCCCCTATCTTCTACTGTAGAAGCCACACACACCCACAGCCTCAAGGCGAAAATCGTAAAGAAATCCTAAACCCTAAACCCTTGAGGCAGTAGGGGCATCAGGAGAAAGGGTCATTGCTGCTACCTAAACCCTAAACCCTAAATGAAACCAGAAAGGCTGCAAGGGCCCCTACCCTTTTAGGGTTCGGGGGTCAGGGCCCCAAACGGCCCCTAAGCTTCATGACCAAAGCTCAGCGGGCCCCGGAAACACTAAGCCCCGAACCACCAAAGCTAACAAATCTTCCAACCCCAAAGGCTCGACAGAGTCCTAAGTACGCTAGCCGGCGTTGGTTTCCATAAGCGGAGATACGAAAAGAAATTCGAAAAGTCGAACAGTTTTCGCCTTTTCGACATTTCGTTTTTCTGTCTGTTTTTCGACACTTTTAGGGCTTTTCGGCTTTCCGACTTTGCGCCGCTGGGTTCTGGCGGCATGTGCTTCAATCACATATATATCCTTCGTGTTTATCACTGGCAATTGGCAGGCTGGACGTTCCGAGAAGGAAATTTGCATGAGCAGCTGATTGCCTACGAGGACGCGGTCAAGGGCTATGAAAGCTCCTCTGGAAAGACCTACCCGGACGACCTACAGATCGCCGCGATCACAAGTGGGCTCAAGGAGCCTTTGCGCAGCCAAGTCCAGCTGCGTATGACGAGCAGCACCATGTGATTTGTGGGATGCGTGCTGCAATATGAGGCTATCAACACGCCGTGGTCGTCCTCTTTGCCGGCAAGACCAGTGGGAAAGGGCCAGGACCAAGGCCCACAGCCGATGGAGTTCGACAGGGTGAAGGGCAAGGACGGCAAAGGCAAGGACAAAGCAAAGGGCAAAGGCGACCAAGGCAAGAAGGGCAGAAGAAGGGCAGCCCAAAGACACGAAAGGAGACAGTGGCAAAGGAATGTGGCACAGCCAAGGGCACTGGAACGGACATGGTTTACCTATCAAACCATCACGTAGAGCTTCCTCCGCATGGGAGTATCGTTCATGGTTCTTTCGTCAACACGCGAGGGTGTCTGCGATCATACGTGGTATGTGATACCCTGCGGACTCGGCTTTTTGCCTTCCCTGTGGCCATCCGTGGCTGCTGCTGCGGTGCCTCGTCGCAGCGGTAGGTCGACCTCAATGCGGGGTTGCTCGAGCCATCGGGCACAGTGGGGCGAAACCCGTCCTAGTGCCCCCGAGCTGCCATGGCGTCCGCAATGTCATTTCCTCTGTTGTGGCTATGTCCCTTAACATGTTTAAACACTATACTTGAAATTTCCTGCATACCGCACTAACGAGGCCTGCTACAGTTTCCACTAGAGGAAGATTGTCCTGAGCGCGAAAAAGGCGTGTGGCCACCCATACGCGTATTCCGAATCATAGTGAATGAACACCGCGCGTGGCCAGGCCTCCGACATGCGAGCGTGCGCATCTAGCAGCAATCGACCGACAGGCTTCCCCGATGGCAGTCAACTCCCCGGTGTTGTTTGAGTGTGTTGTGGCGCCCAACCACATCGGATCATGTCGCCCAACCACATCGGATCATGTGCTTGCATGATGACTGGGCCGTACAGGCCCGCGAGCCACGGGTCTCCCTCCGTCCAGAAATCCTCCTCAACTTGCGTCTGTTCTTCTTCGAAGGCCACCACCCCCCAGCCCACCCTCTCCGTATTGCGGCTTCCGCCGACACGGAGGGAAGTGGGTAAAGGCTGCTGTGTCATCGCATCGTTCCAGCTTATACTAAATCATCTATGGAGTCGACTGCGTCCAGGCGCGCTACGCGCTTTTTGGCGACACAGCTGTCTGCTTTAAGTTGCCCCGCTCTGCGGAAGGAGTGCTTGCAGTGCGAACAGGTAAAGGATTGCACTGTTGTCAGCTGTGCATCACAAATGGCATGTTCCTCTTCATAGTGAAACGCGAGGCTATTGTATTTGTAAACTGTTGTTGGCATACCGGGCACGTAGGTGTGCCCTGTCCCCTCGGAGCCCGCCTGTCCGTGCGCGGCTTGCGGCTTTTGGTGCGGTACATCTCCGTTTCCTGTCCCGGCGCGCGTCCTTTGCGGCGGATGCCCAGCTCGTCTTCACTATCCTCATGTTCCCGGTCCGGTTCCGGTAAGCCCTCTGGTACCGCCCAAGCCGGGACTGGTTGGCCTAGGTGCCACATCCAGCTCTTTTTCTTTGGCTTGCTTGACTACTTCCGAGCGGAACGCCTTCACGACCTTTTGCTTCCATTCCGATCTGTTCTGCGCGAGTCGAAACCAATCCATTTCCGGGATTTGAGCTTGGCGAAGGCAAGAGTTGAGCCACTGGGCCTGTTTGAAGGCGCATCTCATTTTTGCTTCGTTTCCCATTATACCCAACCAAACATGATCTGCTTTTGCGGGGCGTCCGTCGGCATTCTGGCTACGTGTCCGAGCCAAAGAAAGCTCGCTCGTCGCACTGCCGTGTCAAATTTCTCCCATTGTACCATATTCCGCATTATTTCGTTGGTGATACCCGCTTGGCGTAGCTCCTTTAGTCGGTAACCCAAACTGCGTCGTATTGCCATATGTATGATTCCCTGCGTGCGACTGACCTGATTGGTTTGCCATGATCGAGTGCGCGAGAAACTCATGAGTGTGCCTGTCACTAATGACTTGAGGACTGGGATGCGTGTAGGGGTGCTCAGATCCTTACGCTTATAATGTTTGGTGCGACCCCGTAACCAAGCTCCTGCGATCTCCACCACCCTGCTAGCTGCTTTCTGCGCACATCTGTGGGTTTCCGCCGCGTGCCCCGCCCGTTCCGCCGCTAAAGCCCCGAGATGTTTAACAACTGGAACCTCCCCTGGCCAAGGTACCTCCATAGGCGCGCGTATCGTAGAAGTCACCCGAAGCCCCTCCGTTTTCTCCTCGTTTACTTTTCCCGCAAAGTCTTCAACTGTTTGAACAAAGAGGTTTTCTGCTGCTCTGGCTTCGTCTGCCTCCCTTACAATGCCAGTGTCATCGGCAGGGGCGAAATCTCCGATGCAAACTCGTTTGATGATCCGTCCTTCTTCTTCTCGATCTGTTTTGCGCTTAGCTACTTTGCCGTCCACCTTGCAAACCCATTCCAAGCCCGGCTGTTGCTGATGCGACGCTGCGCGCCTGCCCCGTCGTGCATGAAAGACTTCCATCACACAGTGATGGTACACATTAAACAGTATTGGTGACGATGGGCAACTCTCTGGTAATCCCCGTTCCGGTATGAAAGGCTTTGAAACTTTGCCCTGAAACCGTACTTTGCAAGTGGGGTCATCATGGATGCCTTTTAACACGTTCAGGAAGCCCTGTGGGCAGCCTTTTCGCCGAAGGGCCGTCCAAATTGCTGCCCTGGAGACTTTAGGGTAGGCTTTTTCCGAATCGAAGAACCGGAACAGAAACACCTTACTGTGAGCGGACTGTGCTGTTTCCTCAAGGATGCTTCTGGTGATTTGCTGAGCATCATCAACTCCTGAGCCCGGTCTAAAACCGAACTGTAGGGGATTCATCCACAGTTGGGTCCATCGGGATAGTCTTTGTGCGCAGGTTTTTGCTAGCAATTTTGATCCCACCGAAAAGCAATGTGATACCTCTCCAGGTGTTCTTATCCTTCCAGCTCCCTTTGCGTTTCCAAAAGGGGACTACAATGCCTTCCTGAGGCCATTGGTCCGACTCACGTCCATCCTCCGCTGAACTCGCTTGTCGCCACGTTGCCGTAAAGACCTGAAACATTTGATGCTGGAGTTCCGTGCCTGCCCATTTAAGGTATTCTGCCATCCTCTCCTCCCGCTTTTCCTGCCTTCATTTCTCGGATAGCGCCTTGCATTTCCTCCCACGTGGGCTCATCGCTCAGCACCACCAACTCCTCCCGACTATCTACGTCCTCCCAAACTGCCTCTTGAACCTCCCCTGTTCCCACCTGGATATTCGCAAAGTGCTCCCTCCAGGCGTCAACCTGGGCATCCGTGCTAGCCCGTTTACTACCACCATCCTTTTTGCCTCGTTTGATCGCTGAGAGTATTTGTTTCACAATTTTGAAAACTCCGAAAGCGTTCGGTGTACCAATCAAGGCATCGGCGGCCTGGGCGCGTGGCTATTCTTCCTTCCAGAGTCGTATCGTGCATTTTTTGAAGTGCCTTAGTTCCCCTAGCCTCCGTCGAAAGTCTGCTGCCACCTGTGGATCCTCCTGTGCTCTGGCCGCTTCATCCCTCAGTTTCGCTTCCCGAATTGCCGCGTCCAACTCAAGGCCACCCTGGCATGTTGCTGTAAGCAGGGCGCCCCCTTGAACTCGACCAAAACCCCGCAGACCTCCAGCGCCGACGACAGACAGTTTCCCATTTCTGAGAGGCGTTGGGAGTTGTGGTCCAGGTCCCTCAGACGACTCTCTACGAGGGCTTGCCATTTCTCCCGCAACTGCCGCCCTTGGGCTTGACCCGCGGAATGCGTCCAGGTCTGGTCGTCGCCCTGAGTTTGTCTGCTTACATTTAGGTGTCCACCACTTGCCTACACGCAGGATGCACTCTACTGGGTTATGCTCCGTGTATGGGGTCCAGGAGACCTCGATATTGCTTCCATCGTACGTACACCTCCGCTGCTGCTGGTAACGGCTGCACGCGTCCCGAAAGTCATGCCGAAGGCACCAGTCCCGCCATTCCTCTCCTGCTGTGGTCAAGCGTGAGTGGGCGAGGCCCCACTATCGCATCTCCTACCTTTACTGCTCCTTGGTTATTCCCTAATTCCGCGTTAAGATCGCCAGCTACAACGACAACGACCAGGGAGGATGGCGGGGCTGCTTCTACCAAGTATGTGATATCTTGTCGCAGTGCCGCGCGCACGCGTCGCCCTGCTGCGCTGGTGGGGGCAATACGCCGCACAAAGCCATACTCCTCTGCGCCAACCGCGCCTGGGGATGCTAATTGCCGCTGCCGGTATGTTGCGCTGATATGTGATAGGGCCTCCCTGGTCCCACCAAGAATACCACACATCAGCAAGGAGAAAACAAACCCGACCTTTAAGATAATCAAATACCAGTCACGTCCGTTGTATCGATATACTCTCGTGCCGTCGTCTGGGTATTTGAGATCCGTGAGACAAATTACGTCCCATTGCTGCGCGTCCAATAAGCAATCATTATAAGGCCCCTACATGTGGGCTTGTACGTCTCAGGGTTCAGGGGCTTAGGGGTGTTGGGGCTTAGGGGGTTTGGGAGTTGAGGGTTTTTTTTTGGGGTTTGGGGTTTAGGCGCTTGGGGGTTTGGTGGTTTTGGGTTCAGGGGGTTAGTGTTAGGGAGGTTAGGGAGTTAGTGTTAGGGAGGTTAGGGATTTAGGGGCTTCGGAACTTTCAAGTTTGCGGGTTTCGAGAGGGTTTGAAATTGGGTTCCAAGGGTTCAAGCTTTAGGCTGGGGTTTAGGGTTTAGGGTTTTCTGGGCTTTGAGGTTTGGGGGCTTCGAGTTTCGAACACTGGAGCCATCGGCCGAGACTTCGGCAAAGGGCTCGCTTGGATGCCGGACACCAATATAAGAGGGCCTCATATTCCCCAAATGATTCCACAACACTCTACTACGCTATTCTGTAATTCTTCGGTTGATGATACTGTAGACACTGCACCGACTGGTAAGCCTTTCCAAGGTCTGGAGTTCCGGCCCTCGAGGTTCTCCCAAAACCCAGAACTCCAAAGCCTTAAATCCATGCAAACCCCAAAAGGCCCTAAACTGCCGAACCCTGAACCCACCCTGAACCCTTATAGACTGATAGACCATGAACCCAGACTGATGGACCCTGAACCCTTATAGACTGATAGACCTTGAACCCTTATAGACTGATAGACCCGGAACCCTTATAGACTGATAGACCCAGAACCCTTATAGACTGATAGCGAATCCTTAAAGAACCTGAACCCTATTAGACTGATAGACCCTGAACCCTACCTTCTGCAAGCCCCCTGCCAAGGCCCTTTAAAACCCCCCAGCAGGTCGACTCTTTGGCGGCGCCAGCTTCGGGCCAGGAATTCACTCAGCGCCCTCGCCAGAAAGCGTGCCTTTCCTGTTGGCGCTAGGTCTACACAAAATAGAAAAATGCAATATAATATAGCATAATTCCACGATAGTGTAGCCTACTTTAATATAGTGCTATCTGTTTTGGAATCAGGTAGTCAGTGTTCTGCTCTGCTGCAACTTTGGTGCTTGACAGCGTACTGGGCATTTGCTGCAGGAATGGGGATGCTTTTCTTGTTGCAAAGGGTCTATGAGGGTCAAGTTTATCGGGTCGTTGTGCGCGGTTTGGGGTCCCTTTGAACAAGGGCCTTGTAGTGATTCAGGTTGAACGAAGGTATTGTAAGGCCCGGTAGGATGCGAGGCCAGGCTTGCGATCGCAAGTGCTCAAACCAGAGAAGAGGACCGGCTACCTCCGGCCCTGAATGCCCTGCCCATCCCAAAGTCAAAGCAGCCCAAACCCGAAGCTCTAACCCTAAACCCTGAGCCCTAATCAGGTATTCCAACTCCACATCAGCCTCGGGCAGTTGCAAGCTCGGGCAGTCCCTGAGCATGTTTGTTTGTCCATCCACCCGCCTGCGATCTATCTATCTATCTATCTATCTGTCTAGCTGTTTCTCTGACTGTCTGTGTATCTGTTTTGCGCTTCTTTATTTACCTACCTGTCTACCTATCTACCGCTCTACCGCTCTACCCATCTGCCTGTCTGCCTATCTGCCTACCTGCCTACCTACCTACCTACCTACCTACCTACCTAATCCATCTGTCTATCTATCTGTGTATACATGCATGCGTGCGTACATGCCTACATGCAGTACAGACATGCATACATACATGAAAACACGTATTGGCACAACATATCATGTATATGTGTCTGGTGATATGCCAGATGCTGGGCAAAGTTGTCTCCATTGTTCCGATGTCTTATAGCTTGACTCTCAGAGCCCACGCATGTTGTATCAAAGCCTCGGCTTCTTACTTCTGCTTCTACTCTCCTCGAAGCCTCCTGAGGCAAAGCGTCGCCGGAGACGGTTTCTCGAGCATTCCGCATGCCTGAAGCATCAGGAAAACAGGGGAAGCCGACACACCGAAGTACCCCCCTAAACCCCAAACATCGAGCGATGAGCCACCGACCTTCAGATCCCAAAACCCCCAAGGCGGAGACGGTGAGAAGCGACGTCCATGGGAGCCCTTGCCCCTGCCTGTGACGCCGGAGAGGTTGGGTTGTAAGCTGTTTAGGGCTTAGGGGGCTCATGGGTTAATGCTTGAGGATTGTAGGTTCAGGGCTTGGGCTTCAGGATGTCGGGTTTGGGATCTCTTGTGGGTGTGGCGGTGCTTTGATGGATAGTGACAGTAATCTGGGATTCGGTCCTGTGTGGACTTTTGGGTGAATGCTTTCGGGTCTTGCCGTGGAACGGTGTACACTTGTGCTGCCCTGTACACTGACCCTTAATGGATGTTTGTTGTTTAGGATTTCGTTTGGGAATTCCTCAACTAATTCTCGCACGAAGCAGGAGAGGTGATTTTGGAAGGGAACTTGGACCCACAAGCCCAAGCTTTAGCGGCGCTGATGGTTGCAGGTTTCCAGTTCCTGCAAAAGAGGCCGGGGGTCTGAGTTTGTCTTCTCGGGCCGGGTTGGGGCTCGGGGTTTGCAATGACGAGGGCCGGGGGCTAAGGGCTTCGGATTATTTTGGGAAAATGGATTCAGAGGTTGTGGTTTGGGGTGGAGGGTTTTGCATCCTGGGGATTTCCACATCTAGCGCCATTCTGCCGCAAAGCATGGTAACTCATCAGCGGTTCTGAAAATTTTGAAGCCCTGAACCCTGAATCCTCGACCCCAAGCCTAGACTCTCGACCTAAAGTCCTAAACTCAAGGCTTGAAAAAGCACTTGCACAAGTCTTCAAGCCCCCAAGCCTATGCCCTCAACCCCAAACCCCAAGCCCAGACCTAGAATCCCAAACTCTGACTTCAAATCGCGATCCCCCCTAAACCCTAAACCCAGAGATGTCCTCATGTCTTCGCTGTTTGTTTAGCCCAGGTACAGCAGGAGGTCAGGGCACCGCCGCCTCCGCCCCCAGTTGAGCAGGTCGTTGTGGGAGCATGCTGGGCTCGTGACTTCAGGGTTTAGAGTTTAGGGTTTAAGGTTTCAAGTTTCGAACGGTCTGGTAGGGTCTTGGGTTTTGTGGTTTAGGATTTAGGGTTTGGGATGTAGGGTTTGAAGGTTTAGGGTATGTCCGAAAGCTTCAGTAGAAGCCGCCACCCGGCTTACCCAAGTCACTATACTTACTTTAGCTACGTAGGGATGTATGAGGACCAGAGACAATAGCCTAGTGCATGGGTGACTGTTCTTCCAACGCTCATTCCACGGCAGTAGCACGAGGCAGAAGCTTTTAACTGTCAGGACCTGGCGTGTCGCGGGTCTTTGTAGGGTTCTTAACAGTTGACATAGCGCGCCTCAATAATTAGAAAAAGATTTTTGGGGCCCATTATACTATACTCATAATAAGGACCCCTCAAAAAAAGTATTGGTAATTATGTAGGCCCCTATACTATGCTCTAGAATGGTCAGGACTTTGCATTGGCTGCTGCCGCCATGCTGTAAACCCAGAACGCAAAACCCGAAACACCGCGAGCCCCAAACTGAATAGAGTAGAACGACCAGGTACCAGACTGTTTCGCTGTGACGGTGTACATCTTAGTATACTGTTTGAGCAGCAAGCTCGAGAACACAAGTGCTTTAAAAGTGTTTTCACCAAGAAAACACCCCGCCACGGTGGACCAGACTGAAACGGTCAAGACTCCATAGATGTGATGCCTCTGTGCTTACTGCGTAGGTTTATCCTTAAACCTTTACTTGTGGCTTGAATTTCGGTGCGATAAGCGATACGCGCCATACCCTTATTCCAACTGGAGCTAGTGCGGACCCGATCATCCGTGCCAGACCGAAACCTTCAGTCCTAAACTCGAAACCGAGAACCCAAACCGTAATTCCTACACCCGCAGCCCGCAAGTAAAATCTCCTTAGCCCCAAGCAGCTCAACTGTCAGGAGCAGATCGCTCTGTCGGCCGAGTTGGCCGGACAACACCAGGCAGCCGGGTTGTAGGACGTAGGGGACAAGATCTTGTAATGTTACGAGAACAACAACAACAGCAATCATATATATATATATATATGTATGTATATATATATATATATGGTCACACACACCCCCCCCCCCATGATCCACCCCAGCCTTCTGGCCATCTGTT